GGTACATGACACCAGTCAAGCTTGCAAAAATCTATCATTTGCCCGATAATAAATGCTGGAAATGTAAAGAAACTGAAGGTACATTCTTTCACCTTTGGTGGACGTGCCCAAGGATTAAGGCTTTCTGGGAAATGATATATAATGAACTGAAAAAGGTATTTAAATATACCTTCTTGAAGAAACCAGAGGCCTTTCTTCTGGGCATTGTCGGCCAATTGGTGTCAAAGAAGGACAGAACTTTTTTTATGTATGCTACAACAGCAGCAAGAATACTCATTGCAAAGTACTGGAAGACACAAGATCTACCCACTTTGGAAGAATGGCAGATGAAGGTGATGGACTATATGGAATTGGCAGAAATGACTGGCAGAATCCGAGACCAGGGAGAAGAGTCGGTGGAAGAAGATTGGAAGAAATTTAAAGACTACTTACAGAAATATTGTAAAATTAATGAATGATAGAATGATGTTGGATAGTAACTAAGTGGTTTCTAGCTGTAATGCTTTAAGAGAATATGAAAAAAAGGGTTATAAATGGGTTAAAATCTAATGGTAAGGATTTGCTGAACCAATAAATTGAAGTGGAATACAAAAAAGGGAGGTATGAGGAGGTCCGGGAAACAAGCTAAAGGAAAATAAGTAACTGGAAATATGTGTGTTTTTAATTGTTTTTATTTTGTATTTTTCTATTTTCTTTTTCATTTTTACTGTAATATTTCAAAAAACCTAATAAATATCTTATTAAAAAAAATATGAAGGCACCAGGTGAGCCTCCCTGGGGAGAGCATTCCACAAACAGGGAGCCACTACAGAAAAATCTCTTTCTTGTGTTGCCACCCTCTGGACCTCATGTGGAGGAGGCACACAAAGAAGGGCCTCAGGATGAGTCCAGGATGGTTTATATGGGGAGAGGTGGTCTATTTTTCTGAACTAAAAACCCCCAACTTAACATACTTGCTGAAAGAAACATCAGAGAAACGCACAGGGCTCACACAGTGGTTGTGTCTGCCATATAAAGCATAGAGCTGTCCTCAGACAGAACTGTGTATACTGAAAAGTGCTTAAATCAAGATGGCAAGGGTGAGGACTGAGTGGAATCAAAATTTAGACAACCTGAACTGCTTGTTCCTGAGATGTATTAGGAGTTAGTGCATGGAATTGTTGCACATCTTACATCAGTCTTTGGGTGTGCAGTGTGGCTGACAATCCCACGGAAATCAGATTCGATTTGTTTCAACCTCTGTAGGTTGGATTGCAACACCAAAGTTCCATGAAATGCTGGGGCATGTGGTTGCTTAATTTATTTATGGTAAGATGTAAGAATTTAAGCAACATCTTTGTCTATGTGCCCAAGAAGTAGCAATTAGTAAGATGTGAGAATTTAAGCAACAACTTTGTCTATGTAGAATCACAGAATCAGAGAATCTTAAGAGCTGGAAGGGACCCCAAGGGTCATTTAGTCCAACCCCCTGCAATGCAGGAATCTCAGCTAAAGCATCCATGACAGATGGCCACCCAACCTCTCTTTAAAAACGTCCAAGAAAGGAGAGTCTTCTCCCACCTCTCAGAGTCTGTTCCACTGCTGAACAGCTCTTACTGTCAGAAAGTTTTTCCAAATGTTTCGTCGGAATCTCCTTTCTTGCAACTTGAAGCCATTGGTTTGAGTCCTACCCTCCAGATCAGGAGAAAACAAGCATGCTTCCTCTTCCATGTGTCACCCCTTAAGATATTTAAAATGGCTATCGCATGCATACTTGTGGTATGACAAGGTTAAAGTACATAAAGCATTTAAAAACCACATTGTCAGGAAAGCATTGTTAAATGTCTGGATAAGATATAAGGACTTACTTGAAAATAAAACCCCAAGGTGGTTGTCACCGATGGAAGCAAAGGCTCAGAAAAGGCTCAATATGGAGGCCAAATGGCCGAAATATTGGGAAATTTTGGAACAAGAAGGAGACAAATTGAAATTGCAGAGTTTTGAGAAATTAAAAGACAAAGTGCGAGACTGGCTTCATTATTATCAGATAATGGAGGCATATAATTTGGATAAGAAAATTGGCTTCCAGGTGGAAAAATCAAAATTGGAAACAGAACTGTTAGAACCCAAAACTAAGATTTTGTCAAAAATGTATAACTTGCTGTTGAAATGGAATACTCAGGATGAAACGGTGAAATCTGCTATGATTAAATGGGCACAAGATCTTGGACATAATATTATGTTTGCTGACTGGGAACAGTTGTGGACCACAGGTATGAAATTTACGGCATGTAATGCCCTAAGAGAGAATATTATGAAAATGATATACAGGTGGTACATGACACCAGTCAAGCTTGCAAAAATCTACCATTTGCCCAATAATAAATGTTGGAAATGTAAAGAAAACAAAGGTACATTCTTTCACCTTTGGTGGACGTGCCCAAGGATTAAGGCTTTCTGGGAGATGATATATAATGAATTGAAAAAGGTATTTAAGTATACCTTCTTGAAGAAACCAGAGGCCTTTCTCCTAGGCATAGTCGGCCAATTGGTGTCAAAGAAGGACAGAACTTTTTTTATGTATGCCACAACAGCAGCAAGAATTCTCATTGCAAAGTATTGGAAGACACAAGATCTACCCACCTTGGAAGAATGGCAGATGAAGGTGATGAACTATATGGAATTGGCGGAAATGACTGGCAGAATCCGAGACCAGGGAGAAGAGTTGATGGAAGAAGATTGGAAAAAGTTTAAAGACTATCTACAGAAATATTGCAAAATTAATGAATGTTAGAATGATGTTGGATAGAAACTAAGTGGTCTTTAGCTGAAATGTTATAAGGGAATAAGGAAAAATGGTTTATTAATAGGTAAAAATCTAAAATTACAATATTTTATGATTAATGATTAGGATACATAAAGAGGGGAGGGATTTGCTGAACTAACAACTGAACTGGAATACAAAAAAGGGAGGTGTGAGGAGGTCCTGGAAATAAGCAAATGAAGGATAAGTAATGGAAGGAAGGAATTGTTTTTAACCATTTTTACTTTGTATTTTTTCTTTTTTTTGTCTTGTAATATTCTGAAAATTTTAATAAATATCTTATAAAAAAATAAAAAATAAAATGGCTATCGTATCTCCTCTCAGTCTCCTCTTTTCCAGGCTAAACATACCCAGCTCCTTCAAGTGCTCCTCATACGGCTTAGTTTCCAGACCCCTGATCACCTTGGTTGCCTTCCTCTGCACACACTCCAACTTGTCAACATCCTTCTTAATTGTGGTGCCCAGAACTGGACACAGTATTCCAGGTGTGGTCTGACTATGGCAGAATAGAGTGGTACTATTACTTCCCAAAGCCATATCTGGACGCTATACTTCTGTTGATGCAGCCTAGAATAGCACTAGCTTTTTTTGCTGCTGCATAACATTGTTGACTCATGTTCAGCTTGTGGTCCACTAAGACTACTAGACCCCTTTCACATGTACTGCTAGTAAGCCAGGTCCCCCCCCCCCATCCTATATTTGTGCATCTGTTTCTTCCTGCCTAAGTTACATTTGTCCCTCATGAAATTAAATTTGTTGGCTTGGGCCCAGTTCTCCAATCTAATGGCTTGACAAGCTGGGTTCGGTGAATTTATGGCAGAAAAGTTTATTGAGGCCTATAAATCAGGAGTGGGTGACTTTTTCTGACCTGCAGGCTAGATTGTTTTGCCCCATCCTTGGTGGGCCTAATTTAACAGGTGAGTGGGGCCGCCCACCTATCCGTCACCTGGCTTCACTATGGCCTTTGCAAACAGCTTTGTGCTGCTCCTCTGCAAATCAGCTTGCGGAGGGCTTTTGAGCAGGTCTGAGGAGGTTTAAAGAAGCAGTGTGAAGCTCCTTTCAAGAGCAGTGCTGGAAGAGAAGCAGATTCCATTGAATGGAGACCACTTCCCCCTCCTTGAGCGAGACACACTCCCACCCATCTGTCAGCTGATGAACAGGTGGGAGGGTGCTTTGCTCTAGCAAAGAGACCGTTCACTGGGAGCTCGTTCCTCTTAAGCCCTGTCCTTACCCACCCACAACCTGATGTCTCGTGGTCCAAGTGAGGAGGCCTGGCAGGCCACATTTGGCCCGTGGACCAGTGATTCCCCACTCCTGCTATAGACTGTCCATGTTCAGAGGCCACATGCCACTGAATGCCATTCACTGGCATTCATACCCAGCTTGTGGGTCTCCCAAAGCCATATTTGGGAAGGAGGATGCGGGACTAGATGGACCTTCATTTTGATCCAGCAGAGTTTATTGATAAGCTGGAAAATATTGGGCCTGATATTATACACCCAAATCCAGGCAGTGAGTTCCACACTTGCAGATCAACACTGGCACTGTTGGTTGTATCTCTGTCGAACGCGCTGAATGCATTTGAGATGGATAGGCACAGAGGAAAGCCAGCAAGGAAGGACAGCTCTGACGGCTCACTTCTTTACTACAAGTTTACTCCTCCAAAGTAAGTTCCACTGATTCAATGAGGCTAATTCCAAGCAAGTGTGTACAGGATTACAACCTAAACCTGGATCGTGTCCATAAAATAGCACAACATTCAGGCACAGTACAGACATTGTCCTATCTATTTTCTGTGTTTTATTCACATTTTATAGTTTCTCACAGAATAGTGGCACATAATGAATTGGAATAAAATTTGAATGAAAACAAGCACGTCGCGAGATTGAATTCTGGTAAGAAACAATGAACATCAAGGGAAGCAATTACAGCTGAAGAAAATCCCAGGAGCAAACCTCTCTGGATAAGTTAAAAAAAATTTTTTTTTTTACATGACATTTCACCCACCAATCTGCTTGAGACATGCAGAGACTCTATAGGTGATATAAGGTGAATAAGGATGCAACTATTGTGACTTCCCTGAGGCTTCTTTGCTAGAAGAAGAAGAAGAATAAAGTTGCTTTTATAAATCCCAGAATGTCTCTGTAAGCACATGGCTTAAAGGTGGGGGGGACAGTCACTATTGTGCATTGTAAGTTCACATCATGGCTGGAATGGTGCTTTCTGGTTGCAAGCCAAACACATGATAAACGAGCTTCAGAACCAAGCAGATCTGAGGAGGAACAACGACATAAAAAACATAGGCCGACCCCATAATGCAAGCAAGCAGCAAACTGTGGAAGATCCACCATTCAAAAGGATCCATGAGATAAGCCATCGTGATCAGCTGGTATTGCCAGTAGTACCAGGAGAGAGTGCTGAACTTGCGTTTAATAGCCATAGCCGTCTTAACAGCGCTCCGGTGCCACACCTAAGAGAAACAAGTGAACAAACAAATGTTTAATGAGAACTCTAGAGGTTTTGAGAGGAGGCACACACACGCACACAATATTTACTGCTATAATTCCGAATAAATTATACCCTGCTTTTCAACCACACCTAGGTCCCAAAGTGACTTACAAAATAATAAAAAGCACACTGTAGCTAAACATATGTATACCAGGTAAAAACACAGCTAAAATGCATAAACCTTTTTTTTATTTAAAAAACCAAATACACATAAGATAATTACAATTCAAATGCAAATAAAACCAGTAAAACTTCCACAATAAAGACTGGTAACCAAACTATATGGGGTTGAGAGGGTCAACTAATATTCCTCAGGAAGCCCATGACTTATTGATGCTTGTAATACTGCAGCCTAAGCCAGGATGTTCATCTATTTTTATTACATAAAACTGAATATTAATTACCATATTTTTATTTTATCTCTATAGCCTTGCTGCCAAGGCAGCTTATGTAATAAACTAGTGCCCAGTTTGGGTGCCATATTTGAAGTTGGATTTCACAAAGTAGGGCCAGAGCAGGGCAACCTCAATGGTGAAGAAAACAGGTCTTGTGAAACAGCGACATATGTTTAGCCTGGATAAGATTAAGGGAAGACAGGATGACTGCTGTCTTCAAAAGTCCAAAAGGCTGTCACACAGAACAGGGGCTCTCACATTTTCTACCCCTGGGGCCCACTTGAGAGGCCAACAGTCACAAAATGGCGGACGATGGGGCCAGAGCCAATCATAAAATGCCATAGTCAGTTAGGATGCTTGAAGATAGCATAGCTCAGGCTGCTCACTTCCTCCATTTCTGCCTGAGTCTCCTCTTTCCTTTCTGCTCGCTCCACCCTCCGCTTCCTGGTACAGCGGTGGCAGCAAGAGAGGAGAAAGCCAAATGAGACCCATCTGGGTTCCCGGGAGAGGTTAGTGGGAGACAGCTGCAGACAGCGTGGCCCACCTGAAACAACCACTTTGGGCCCCTGTCTACAGCATGGGAAACACTGACATGGAAGATGGAGCAAACTCCAGAATGAATGGGAGGGCATTTCCAAGAAACATATTCCGGTTTAACAATAGAGGAAACCTGCTAACAGGACAACCTGTTTCACAGATGGTCTCTCCTTCAATGGAGCTATTTCAGCAGAAGCAACCTCTCAGACATGCACAAAAATTCCTACATCGAGTAGGACTTTGGACTGGCGGAGCTCCAAGGCCCCGTCTAACTCAAAACGTGCCATTATTCTAGGTGAATGAAATACTTTGCTATGTTAATCGGCCAGGTCCTGGCTTTGTTTGAGTGAATCATCTGCCTTTACCTACTCCCTGCATAGTAACACCATACTTCAACTTCTTCCCCTATGATTCATGGAATAAACACCCCTGCAATGGGAGCATGCCATCATGTTTTGTGACATTATACTGGGTCAGCAATTTGTAAGCTCCATCCCACCCTGCCCCGAAGAGCTCATTTCTCGGTATCTTTACTTGGAAGTAACTTACTGAGTAAGGAACAGGTGAAGTAACACTGCTGATGGTCAGTACTCCCCCTTTTAAGCATCCCAGCTGATGTTCTTGCTTTGCAGAGGAGCTGGAAATGCCTGATAAACTATGGCTTAGTGTGTTGTGTGAACCAAACCAGTATAAGTCTGCTTCCTATGTTCCCACACTATTGGGTACAAGCCAAAGTACATCCAGGGTTGTGACTATATTGTTGTGAGTTTCAGAAGTTTGGATCGCAGAAAGTTAATAGGGTAAAAAAGACTGCAGACAGTGCGTAACAGGAATGGCAAAGCTTCCAGACATATCATCTGCCGGGGAAATTGTTCTGGTGGCCAGAACAGGACACAGGTGTGGTCTGCCACTCCACTTTGCCTTGATCAGACCACACCTGGAATTCTGTGTTCAGTTCTGGGCACCACAAACTGAGAGGAAATATGATAGCCACCTTCAAATATCTAAAGGGCTGTCACATTGAAGATGGAGCAAGTTTCATCTTCTGGAGGGTTCAAGTCTGGAGGGTAGGCCTTGAACCAACGGCTTCAAGTTACAAGAAAGGAAATTCCGATTAAACACCAGGAGGAACCTTCTGACAGTAAGCTGTTCGACAGTGAAACAGACTCCCTCTAGAGGTTGTGGACCGTCCTTCCTTGGAGGTTTTAAAGCAGAGGATGGGTGGCCAATTGTCATGATCTAATTGAGTTTCCTGAATTGCAGATGATTGGACAAGATGGCCCATGGGGTCCTTTCCAACTCCACAATACTATGATTCTTTGAAATGTAATTCTAAAAGGCTAGGAGATTGGTGGGGAAGATGATTCACCCTTATTCTTCCCCACTGCCTCCAGCTAGAGAGAAGGGGCAAACTAGGGTGGAAATCAATACAGTGGTACCTCGGGTTACAGACGCTTCAGGTTACAGACTCCGCTAACCCAGAAATAGTACCTTGGGTTAAGAACTTTGCTTGAGGATGAGAACAGAAATTGTGCGGCGGCGGCACGGTGGCAGAGGGAGGCCCATTAGCTAAAGTGGTGCTTCAGGTTAAGAACAGTTTCAGGTTAAGAACGGACCTCCGGAACGAATTAAGAACTTAACCCGAGGTACCACTGTAGAAACATTTTGAGAAGCAGACTGCAGCGAGAAGTTTTAAGAGAGATTCAGAGAGAGGGGAAGCTCCAGGAAGTGCCTTTTTGTAGTGAGGGGAGCTGCCTCACTCTGGGGATCTGGTGTGGGGCAGTGGCTTAGTCTGCCTGCTGCGAGTGTTAAACTGTGTCTCCACCTAGGCTCGGCCTGTACATTTGTAAATAAACGTAAACATAACAAAACACCACAAGCCTCCACTAACTTGTTTCCAAAGGAAACCCAACTCAGGCAAGTGCCATGACCATGGAATTTCTCACCACTGGAGTAAGCATGACCATGTGACGCTTCTGTAAAAGACAAGGGAAGTTTGTTTCTGGGGCATGTTTTGAGCTAAAAATGCTTCACCTGTAAAAGCCCCAAAGGCCAGAGGTACCAAGGTTACTTCTGCGAAAGGGTGTGCCAGGAACATCTCATGAATTTTAAGTTGCATCTTAGAACAGGTTTACACTCATCAGCTGGGGACTGCATTAATAAGCCAATACGCAAGGCGGCCCAATTTTTAATATCCCCATTAAAAATTATGTAAATTATGACAAATCAGCTGTGTGCATGCTAGGGCCTATACATCAGTTTCCTGGCTTACACAATGCTTTATGCATGTGACTGGGAGGATCAGGGACTGGGAAGAGGAGGAATGGTGGGGACCGCCTCCCCAGCCTGACCCTTCCAAAGAAGAAGAAGACAGTTCGGAATTACAACAGGGGTTTGAGGGAGATCACAGTTCAGAGACAGATGAGGGGGAAAGCTGGGAAATAATGGGAGAGGAGGAGGAGGAAGAATAAGCATTAGAGGGAGAGATGACGAACACAGTGTCTTTAGAAAGCATTCCAGACCACCCCTCTCCCAGAACCTGATAAGCATTGAAAATAGGAGAATAAAGAGCTCAAAGGCAGAGGGCACGTAGCAGCAACCACAGCGATGGCGCAAGAGAGAGGGAGGGGGTGGAGACTCATTCAGGGCAAAGCCATTGTTCCAAGAGGCTTCATTTCCAAGCCTCTCTCTGTGAATATTGAATAAAAAGCAGTTGGTAAAGACTTTTCCTTGCCTTATCTGTTCTTGGCAACCTGCTGTGGGGTTGGATCCTCTGCCGCCTGACATCTAGCCTATAATTTCTCTCAACCCAAATTGAGAAAGAGAATCAGATCCTCCAAGTTTCCCTATTTTCCAGGGCCAGTCCTGGATTTACAGAAGCCATCCCAGTTTCTGATTTGATCCTGGAATGTCCCACATTTCTTTAGGATGTCCCTATTTTCATCGGAGAAATGCTGGAGGCTATGCTAGCTTTGTTTTAAGCTGGTAATATGCACACAGCCTTAAACTGATTTAACGATTAATTCCCATTCCCAGGGTACTCTAGAAACTGCAGTTAACAAACTACATTTCCCAATAGTCTTTTTTGGGGGGGGACCATGTCTGTTAAAGTGGTAAAAAATCGACAGAAAATGTATATGATGTGTGAGGCAGATGTGTGTGAAGAGGTTTGTGGACACAGAGGTTCAGAAAGTGCTGTATCAAACACATAATGCAAGAACATGGAAGAAAAAGAGGCTTTGACTCAGCACTCTCAGCAGGAGATTCAAAGATCTAGCAGGCAAGCCCAGTGTCGTGAGAGTGACACCTTGTGGTCATTGGAGGGAAATAAGGCCATTTCCAGCTAGGCAGGCTGTGTTAAGCTTTCCATAAGCTACCTTGCTAGATAGTGATCTAAAATAGAGTTTCCTAGTGGAAAGCCCATTTTTAAATAAATGCATGCTGATTATTGGCTGATAAAGTATGAAAAATGTCTGTCTCCCACTTTCTACATCACAAGAACATGAACAATGACATGCCAAAGGTGCATGGAGTCCTTCCATATATCCGTGGTTATTCAGATATTGCACATTTGAAGCACTAAAAATTAGGTTCTGGGATTAAAACTTGGTCAGATCTACCTCAAATTAAGCCAGGCTCCACAGAAAGCTACTTCATTAATACTGTGAAAAGCATTCTTGTTCAAAACACTTAGGGCAGAGTGAGATCACACCCAATGTTGGTTGACTCACAAACTGATCAGAACAAAGTAAGTCCTGCTGGTTATTTTCAGGTCTATGAGGATTACATACTGCCCCATACCCGGAGGTCTCAGGGCGCTTCACAGAAAAGATCACAACATATATAATCTGAATAAAAACAACAATCCAAAACATATGCACACCCCAGAAAAGAGCCACATTTTAAAAGGGAATAGGTTGTCAACAGATCAACCAAAGGCCTGGTTAAAAAGGAACATTTTTGCCAGGCACCTAAAAGTGTGTAAGGAAGGCACCAGGTGAACTTCGCTGGGGAGAGCATTCCACAGACGGGGAGCCACTGCAGAGAAGGCACCCTCCGGACCTCTTGAGGAGGAGACACAAGAAGGAGGGCCTCAGAAGATGTAGGTTCATATGGGAAGAGGCGGTCCTTGAGGTCCTGAGCCATTGAAGGCTTTATAGGATTAAGTGGATTAAGTGGTAATGATCAACTTGCTTCAGTTTTGAGTTTGGGGCTGTATTTAATAAATTTGTACACCACCCCTCAGGTAGATCTCAGCATGGTTCACAATATAAACTGTAGAGCTATGACTTTCTCATGAGGCTTGCTGGGGTTTTTGAAATATTATTCATCCAATTATTCATCTAATTTGGGGCTTAAGCGGGAGACTTCCAGTTCAGATTGGGTGAAGATCATGTGGGATGGTGATACTCTTTCCAACTCTAAAGCATCTTTCTGAAACCTGGTGCCTTTCCTAAGTTTTGAACTTCAGCCTTAAAGACTGCAGTCCAAAACACCTGAAGAGCAACAGGTTGGAAAAAGCTGGCTTGGAGTGCAGTTGTAATATAAAACAAGGTTGAAATAACAAGCAGGAAGAGTAAGAACAGTCTCTAGAGGGCACCAAAGACCAAGCTGTAGCAGAGAGAAGACTCAAGTCCTGTTCAGAATTGGGCACGGCAGGGGGGCCTCCAATCACACAGCCACTGGCTAGCCTTCCTGACCCTTACTACACCTGATATCCAGGGGTGATATTCAACTACGTTTTATACAGAGTAGACCCACTGAAATTAATGGACGTAACTTACATCATGTTCATCTGCTCTGACGCGACAGCTAAAAAAGCCAATGAAATTCTGGGCTGCATCAATAGGAGTATAGCATCTAGATCAAGGGAAGTAATAGTGCCACTGTATTCTGCTCTGGTCAGACCTCACCTGGAGTACTGGGTCCAGTTCTGGGCACCACAATTCAAGAAGGACACTGATAAACTGGAACGTGTCCAGAGGAGGGCAACCAAAATGGTCAAAGGCCTGGAAACGATGCCTTATGAGGAACGGCTAAGGGAGCTGGGCATGTTTAGCCTGGAGAAGAGGAGGTTAAGGGGTGATATGATAGCCATGTTCAAATATATAAAAGGATGTCACATAGAGGAGGGAGAAAGGTTGTTTTCTGCTGCTCCAGAGAAGTGGACACGGAGCAATGGATCCAAACTACAAGAAAGAAGATTCCAGCTAAACATTAGGAAGAACTTCCTGACAGTAAGAGCTGTTTGACAGTGGAATTTGCTGCCAAGGAGTGTGGTGGAGTCTCCTTCTTTGGAGGTCTTTAAGCAGAGGCTTGACAACCATATGTCAGGAGTCCTCTGATGGTGTTTCCTGCTTGGCAGGGGGTTGGACTCGATGGCCCTTGTGGTCTCTTCCAACTCTATGATTCTATGATTCTATGATTCTATGCTCTGAGTAAAACTTAATGGAATAGCACCCCATGTGCTGGATGGCATATAAGCATAGTTGACTCTCAACGTACTAGCCAAAACCACAGACAGTGGTACCTCGGGTTATGTACTTAATTCGTTCCGGAGGTCCGTTCTTAACCTGAAACTGTTCTTAACCCGAAGCACCACTTTAGCTAATGGGGCCTCCTGCTGCTGCCACCACGCCGCCAGAGCACGATTCCTGATCTTATCCTGAAGCAAAGTTCTTAACCTGAGGTACTATTTCTGGGTTAGCGGAGTCTGTAACCTGAAGCGTATGTAACCTGAAGTGTATGTAACCCGAGGTACCACTGTATGATCAGAACAAGCTTGTAAAAACCGTAAAAAGTGCAGTGCAGCGCATATCACACTCTCTCAAGACTGCTGTTGATTCTCTCTGCACTTCTGAATGCTCTCCCAGGGTGTGTGCAAGGGTGGGTGGGATTGCCAAAGGTTTCTCCCCACTTTCCCACCCCCTTTTAAGTTTTAAAAAACTTTTTCAGCCAAGCACATAAATCTGCGACTGCACATGTTTAATGCACATAAGGTGCGAGTTGACTGTACATACATACAACCATAGACTCCGAATGCACGAAGGCTCCAACAACACATTGACATCTATGCACAAGGCTGCTTTGCACACATGCTGAATATGTGGATGTCACAGTTAAGGAACAACTATGATTCCCCCCATCTATGCACACACATAAACACAGCAAAAGCAGCTGCCAACAACTTCAGAGCTGCTCTCTCTCCTTGTCACTTTAAAGTGATAATGTGCTTTTTTTAAAAATCCCAGAGAAAACATAAGACTATTTTATGTTTTTGCAGAGGGAAAAAAACATTAGTTCTTAGAGTTTCTCTCTATGTTTGGGTTGTTCCCAAAGTTTGGGGAATTGGAAACAAATGTCAGTTTATCAGAATGAAAAAATGAAGGAAAGTGCAGAGGAGACAAAGGAGAGAGAGATTTCATCAGTCCGCTGGGTATAGCTACACTGAATACATGTCCATTTTATAGAAATGTCACAGCTTCTCCCAGAGAATCATGGGAATATTGATATTTTGGTGAGAATACAGTCTCTGTTTGAGATCCCTAGCTTTCAGTTCCCAAAGTTTCCTAGAGAGGGAAAGTATGTTAAATCATTTTAAGTCTGTGGTGTGGATGTGATTACTCTCAGCATTAAAGGAAATGAATGTAAAAGCTACCTGCTCCTTCCTTAGGATTTGCTAAAATTTCTCAGCAACTTTCTCCTCTTCTCAGTAGTAGTAGTAGTAGTAACCAACCAGTGATCTGGTCCTCATCTCTTTCTGCCCATTCAGAGAACTCTAGCAACTCTAGAAAGCAGAAGAAATTTGTCCAAATGTAATGATATTATATTATCAAAACCATAGTGTCCCATGAAACAATACATACATGAGGGAAATAATAAGTTTATCTATTTACACATATGCTATTTGGTTCTGTAACCTTAATTATATTTTAGTGTTATTGTTGTTATTGATGTTTTCCCCTGCAATTTAATGCATTTTAATGCCCCCCCCCTTTTCTCTTTTCTTTTTCTTCTGATTTACTTTAATTCTCTGTAATACTCTCAGCAAAATAGAAATAAAGAAATAAATAGAAAGCAGAAGAAATGGCACTGTGGAATGGATATAGAAAGCAGATTGCAGTATATGGGAAACAGTGAAGGTGATCAGATCCAAAGGAGGACAGGGCTCCTTTCCCATTAACAGTTTGGGAGGAACATACATACACTTTACTGGGGCTAAGGGGTGTATAGGGACTGAGTCAAGGCTGGCTGTCCCGTTACCACAAGGAAAAAATGAGGCTAAATTGTAAATTATGCTTAAGAATGTCTGTCCAAATTTATTAATCCTCTATTTACCTTTGGTGCCCTGAACTTTTAAGATTTGCTGTACTCAATCTGCTGGAACAGAACAAGCAGTGATATTTTTCTAGAAAAAGAGGTGCTCACCACAAATGCCTCCCTCGTTCTCTTAGAATGGCAATGGTGTCATTCTAAGTTCCAGTGAATCCCGGCTGAAAAAAAGCCCTAAGAACAAGTATTCCAAACAATGTGTCGTAGTCCCTGCCTTTCTCCCTTCTCTAGAACAGCAAGTATAAGAACACACAAAAGGGAAACAGGATCTGGCTACATGTCCCACCCAACAGCTAGAGATGCCAGGGATTGGGACCTTCTGCATGCAAAGCTCCACTCCTGAGCTTTGGCCCTTCAAAGCTCTGCATTATGGTCTACAGATGTCAATTTTATTTTCTTGTTAATTATGCTGTTTTAAATGTGTATATTATATTTGACTTCCTTTAGCATTTTCTTCTGGAATGTTTAAAGATAATTTTTGCTGTCGTATTAAATGCGCATTCTGTAGCTGACCTCCTTTGTAATGCTTTATTTTGAAAACTTTAAGGTAAAAATATATTTTGCTTCCCTGTTAATTAATGTTGCTTGGAAGGCATACTTAATATGCAACTTTCTCCAGTAATGTTTAATTTGGATTGTTTTTATTTTATGTGTATATCTGAAGCAGCATCTCCACCCAACCCCATTGTTCAGCCCCAACACTGAGGTCCAGCTCCGAAGACCTTCTGGCGGTTCCCTTATTGCAAGGAGTGAAATTATAGGAAACCTGGAAGAAGTCCTTCTCGGTAGTCACACCCGCCCTGTGGAACGCCCTCCTGTCAGATGTCAAAGATAAGCAACTATATGACTTAGTAGACATCTGAAGGAAGCTTTTAATGACTGATGTCCCTTTTCCCCTTTGTATTTTGCTGGAAGCTGTTCAGAGCGGCTGGGGTAACCTAGTCAGATGGGCGGGGTATAAGAAAAGAATTGTTGTGGTTAGGTGGTTTGTGTTGTAAACTGCTTTTTTAAAGATGTTTTTCTTAAAAACAAAGTGGTATAGAAATAATAATAGTAATAATAATAGTAATAATAATAATACCCTAGGCCTCACTCACCTGTTTCCAAGAGAACCAAGAAATACTATTTATTGTTTCTTCTTTTTGTGTGTGTGTGTCTTATCTTACTCTGTGCACTTGTAATTTTGCACTTTTTATTGTTTAACAAAGAAACTATCATTTCCAAGAGAACCAGAGAGTGCTTGGGCAGCAAACTCTATGACTCCAGAGGAGGGCGTGTGCTTCAAAGCCAGGGCTCAATCGGGCACACGTGTCTCGAACCCAGCAATCTGGCTGAAGTGTATTTAAAATGTCAAGGAAATAAACAACTGTCTGACTTCTAGAAGACATCTGAAGGCAGTGCTTTTAAAAATAAAACAAAATGTTTAGGGGTACTCTCATTCTGACTCAGGAAAACCACCATTTTATAGTTCAAATGGGGGGGGGGGATACAGTAAACGGACAAAAGTACAAAGATTCACAAAATGTTTATGGGTATGCGTCCCCCCCAGAAAAAAAGCACTGTCTGAAGGCAACCCTGTTTAGGTAAGTTTTTAATGTTTGATGTTTCATTGTCTTCTTAATATTCTGTTGGAAGCCACCCAGAGTGGCTGGGGTATAAATAATAAATTATTATTATTATTATTATTATTATTATTATTATTATTGGGTTCAGGCATGACCCACCACCAGTAGCCCTGGCCCTCTCCCTCCTTACCTGGCACCCTGAGCTCAGGGGTTCATAGGTTGCAGCGCCAGCCTTCCTGGTCCCCAAAAACTGCTCTCAGCACACTGGGCCTTATTCAGCCCAGGCCTCAGAACAGCTTGGCTTTGATTGGACAGCCCTGCCTAGATGGCAGCCTATGAGCTTGACCCGCCGTGGGAGGCCTGGCACTCTAGGACTTGTCATCTGTGGCCCTTTTAGGCTTGAGAACTACATGTCCCAGAGTTCCCTAATTCTACAAGCTTTACCTCTGAGCACAGGGCAGAAAGAGCTAGCAGCGTGTGGGAGGTTGTCAGTGCCGGATTTATGTACAAGCTAAACAATCTATAGCTTAGGGCCCCGCTCTTTTGCCCCCCCCCCCCAAAAAATTACACTATTAATATACTTCAGTTCAACAATTACTTTGATAAAATACATATTTTGTTATATGCAAATAGCTTTAGATACCTATTAGGTCCATAAATTACCATATAGGTAAGGTAAAGGGACCCCTGACCATTAGGTCCAGTCGTGACCGACTCTGGGGTTGCGGCGCTCATCTCGCTTTATTGGCTGAGGGAGCCGGCGTACAATTTCCAGGTCATGTGGCCAGCACAACTAAGCCACTTCTGGCGAAGCAGAGCAGCACACGGAAACGCCGTTTACCTTCCCGCCAGAGCGGTACCTATTTATCTACTTGCACTTTGATGTGCTTTCGAACTGCTAGGTTGGCAGGAGCTGGGACTGAGCAACGGGAGCTCACCCCATCGCGGGGATTTGAACCGCCAACCTTCTGATCAACAAGTCCTAGACTCTGTGGTTTAACCCACAGCGCCACCCGCGTCCCAAAATTACCATATAGTATATATTCAACACAAAAAACAATGACAATCTGTTGTTGACAAAGGGCAGCTGGACATATAAAGGGCCCTATTACCTTCAGTAGCTTAGGGCCTCATCAAACCTAAATCCAGCCCTGGAGGTTGGGCATGGGAGACTTAACTTTTTGCAAGGTTATTCAGTGAGGAGCCTTAAATATATGTTTTTCGGGTGTGAGGAATTCAAATCTGTTGTGTGTGTTTTTGTAATTTGGCAGCTCGGGATGTCTACGTTGGATGAAGAAGCACATTCATTACTTTCAGGAAACCAAAGGGTTTTGAATTTTAGCTTCTGATAAGGTCTGGTCATGCTAAAGAAGAGGAAGAAGAAGAAGGAGGAGAAATAACATATAATCCAACTGCAAGTACTTGGCAATCCCTTTTTTAATTATTTCTATGTGCAATTTTGCATACGCTTTACTTACCAAGCAAAACTAAATTATACTCATTTAACCCGAATATCTCTTGAATTCCCAGGGCACGTTGCAACTTTTGAGCACCCCTAATTTTGGGGATTTGAAAGTTGGAAAATCCAGTACGCCCTAGTGTGGGAGTAGACAAGCAGCAAGGGTATAATGAGGGACAATGAGTTCACTGGGGCAGTTGAGAGCCAATACTTCTGGTGGCAGGTACAGGCCTCGGAACATAGGGTGTGTATAGGGAAGTTTTTAATGTTTGATGTTTTACCGCGTTTGATGTTTTAATTTGTTGAAAGCAGCCCAGAGTGACTGGGGGCAACCCAGTCAGATGGGTGGCATATAAATAAGGAAGTATAATTATTATTATTATTAAAAAGGTGAATTGTGTGGAAAGCAGGAATGCGGGGAGCTTGTTTCCTCCAGGTGCTGTTGGAAGTTCAGCTGGGTACATGAAAACTACTTTATACAGTTAAGCTCGCTTGGGCCCATCTAGGCTCAGTCCTGTCTCATATCTTCCAGCACATTGAAGACAAAAACTGGGACACCATCTTTCTCCTCAAAAAAGCACCTTTTCTGAACACAGCACCCAAAAATATGTGTTTTGAGGTGTCGCACGAGATCACAGTCCCCCAAAAGCACTTTTCCAGGGAGGAAATTGTGCAAGATCACACCCAAAATGGTCTCCGTCTTCTTGCAAGGAAAAAAAACAGGATGTCCTGCTTTTTCCATGACACTTGTGGGACATGATGTCTAAACTGACTGGCAGTAGTTCTCCCCAGGATTTCCTGCTCAAGTTCCCCTCCCCTCAGCACTCTCTGAACATGCTGGGTATTGAACCTTTTCTGTATCTAAAGCAGTGGTTCTGTGACTGATCTGCAACCCTTCCTAAAACGACTGCCTGTTTTGTGAGGAAAGCATTACAATACTGAAGTGTCAGAGCACAGGTTTTCAATTCAGGTCCCAACCTTACTGATGGCTGAGCCAACCTGAGTTTGGTCAGTACATGGGTAGATGACTGCTTGGGAGCCACATGTATACTGTCTCAGATTCCATGGAGGAAGAAAGGTTGGGTAGACAGCTTCTTCTGTGTTAGAGGAGCCAGAGGAGAAGCCTAGCTGTACCTTACAGCAAACGGGAGCTGCTAGCATCTCACGTTCCTCCTCAAAAGCATGAGGTGATGTTCAACATTCTCCATGCTTTCTTTTATTCAGGTCTGAGACAGTTTTGTCCAGCTTTCTATAGATTTTATTTATTCAAACGTGTGTTAAAACAGAGCCACTGTGATCAAGAGATGCTACTATATGGACATAAGCACAACAAACCCAAACCAGCAGTTGCATTCGCCGCAAAAAGTGTGGAATTACCTTCAGTGCCAAAGAAATGCAACTAGACATACAGTAAGACTAAAACAGATAAAACAATGGTAAGTGAGATGTTCCTTCAGAGTAAACAGTTTGTGAATCAACTTCTCAGTCAGCCCTTATGCTTTTTCCAGCCTAAACAAAGAAGGAAAACTAAACTAATGGGAATAAAAGGAGAACAGCTTGGCCGAAACATTTCCTGCATATCTTTGCAAATGTTAAGTTTATGCCATGGTTGCTCTGCCAAGTGAAGAGAGGCTTTCTTGGAGCAACTGCAAGGAGCTTTCTTTTGTGAATTGGTCTTTGTTGAGTGTCTGCAGCAATTGCCCTACTTGAAGAGGAATCTCAGGCAGCAACGGAAACTTAAAACCATTTGGCACCTTCTTTTGCCTCACTCTGCTTCCACTGGAAAAGTGGCAGTACAGGAGGAGACCTGCACTTGCTTCTTTCTCATTTTTATACCTTAAAGGCAAACAACATGATAGGTGGTTCCAAACATACCACTAATATAGCATACAAACATCAGTTAGACGCGCCTGCCACATCTTTGGGGGGAAAGATCACTTAAGGGTAAGAAAGCTGGGTTTGCAGATGCTCTTCCCTGGCTCTTCCCACTTTTCTGCATTAGGATTCTTCCTTATCTACCTTTCACGTCTTCCTTATATACTGTGCATACTTACCAAGCACAGTTATCCTGCCATGCCAAACCAAAACTGCTATGGATGACACCAAAATGACCAATCCAAAGCATGTCTTGAGCACATTAAGAGCATAAGGAGAGCTAAACCTTTTCTGTTCAGTCATTTGTTGGTGGCATTGATAATAATCGTCATTTATTTTATTTTATTCTTCAATTAATAATCATGTGGCTGTTAGGGCATGCAAAATTACTTCCCTACATTACCATTTCACTGAGCCTTCCATATAATTTAACGAAAAGAACACTGGTCTAGTGAGATCTCATAATCTTTGCCTCTTATTATTTAATTTTTATTCCACACACCCCATCGCTTTTTCACAAAATGATCCTCGCACCATACTGATAGCCTCCCCTGCTCTCATTTTTACATTTACAGTGTTTGCTTTTTAAGCTCACATGGTGGGGATTCTATTTTATATTTGTAAGGCAAGCTAGAAACAGGAATTTACCTTATAAGCAGACCGTTGGCCCATCTCGCTCAGTATTGTCAACACTGACTGTCAGCTGCTGTCCTGGGTTTCAGACAGGGAATCTTCCTTAGTCCTACCTACAGATGCCAGGGGTGAGGTACCACTAAGCTATGACACTTCTTTGCCACTTGCTTATATGGTGTTCATCTTCTAACTTATTTCGCATCATTTTGATCAAAATGCATACAAATCGGGTCTCCAAATATTATTTAACACATAAGTGCTTGACCGTTTATTTCTTCCGTGGCATTGGAACTATAAGGACACACTTGCAGTCTTGTTTTCTTTTTATACTTTCTTTTCTAGCATCTCAGCAGTACCATCAAGACATCCCTTTTTAAAAGAAGGGGGGGAAGGATACATTATCCCAAGAGAGGAAAGCAAGATCTTTTCTAAATGTGACCGTAAGATGTACATTCAAGTTTGTCTCACAGTTTTTGTATCAACTGATAAATGCTGTTAAGGTTTTTACATTCACACTATGAAGGCTGCGGTCCTGTAGGTTTTTGAATTATGGTGTTGGAGGAGACTCTTGAGAGTCCCATGGACTGCAAGAAGATAAAACCTCTCCATTCTTAAGGAAATCAGCCCTGAGTGCTCACTGGAAGGACAGATCCTGAAGCTGAGGCTCCAATACTTTGGCCACCTCATGAGAAGACAAGACTCCCTGGAAAAGACCCTGATGTTGGGAAAGATTGAGGGCAGAAGGAGAAGAGGAGGACAGAGGACGAGATGGTTGGACAGTGTTCTCGAAGCTACCAGCATGAGTTTGACCAAACTGCGGGAGGCAGTGGAAGACAGGAGTGCCTGGCGTGCTCTGGTCCATGGAGTCACAAAGAGTCGGACACGACTAAACGACTAAACAACAACAACCTGTAGGTTAATTTGGTCCCATCCACAGTATACATTTAAAGCTCATGGCTCCCCCCCCCAAATATAATCCTAGAAACTGTTGTTTGTTAAAGGAGCTCAGAATTGTAGCTCTGTGTGTAAACAGCAGTTCCCATTATTTGGGGGTGGGGGTGAGGATGGGGACAATGTACCGTATTTTTTCGCTCTATAGGACGCACTTTTCCCCCTCCAAAATTTAAGGGGGCTAAGCCCAAAGCCAGAACAGAGAGACGGAGCGCTGCGCAGCGCTCCGTCTGGCTGTTCTTGCTTGGGGTTAGCTGCGCAAAGCCTTCTTTGTGCCTTCATCCCACTGCCCTGAGGAGGCTACAAAGGCAGTCCCCGCAGCCAGAACAGCGAGACGGAGCGCTGCGGAGCACTCCGTCTAGCTGTTCTAGCTTGCGGACGGCTGCGCAAAGCCTCCGCAGGGCAGCAGAGTGCCTTCACCCCACTGCCCTGCGGAGGCTACGAAGGCTGTACGAAGGTGGGGGAAAGGCTGCAATGCTTCCCTCCACCGCCAGCCCCACAAGCTCGGGGGGCAGCGGGAAGGCAGCCCGCCGCCTTTGCGCTGCTCCCCGACCTGGTCTTTGGGACTGGCAGTGGGGGAAAGCAGCGCTTCCCCCCGCCAGCCCCAAAGAGCAGGTTGAAAGGAACCCAAAGCCTCCGGAGCCCAGTGGGAACTCCCGCTGGGCTCCGGAGGCTTTGGGTGAACGCACCTTCAACGCACAGAACGCACCTTGTTTTAGAGGGGGAGAACAAGAAAAAAAAATTTTCCCTGTTCTCCCCCTCCTATGGTCCGGTGCGTCCTATGGACGATACAGTATTTCAAATGCCCTGAATGTGAACTTAATTGGCCATAATCCCCACTTAACTGGATAGTAACTTCTGAGCAGACATGCATAAGCTTGCCCTGCTTATTTTCGTTTTTTCTTCAAAAAATGCATTCTATAACATCACCTTTGGTACTATTCATTCATTGCACCTTACAATAAAAACGTTTTTAAAACACGCATTAATTTGGCATTGAAAAGAAAAATGTAAAAAGGCCAGACTGCATTGGAAAAGGCTGCATATGCTCCATCCAGTATCAAAAAGGCCTCGCTTCTCTTTCTGCATGTCTGCCTAGGTAAGCTGTTATTATTGTTCCTACCTTGGTGCCGATCAGCTGGTTTAGCTTCTTACTTGCACTGAGAGCTTTTAACCCTCATCCTGCATGTTTAATACAGTTTGCTTTGCAGAGGCTCCACCTCTTTGGTGTTTCACCATTCACAATGTGATAGCCAATGAATTACGTTGCAAAGGCAATAAAAGGTTCACTTTTAAACACCTACCCAAACAGCAAGGTTCGAGCTCAGGCCCGACTAGCAGAGCATATGCTCTGCATACAATTGGTGGTCTCAAACTAAGTGATACTCAGAGCAGTTCCACTGAAATCAATGGACTTAAGTTAGTCGTGCCCATTGATTTCAATGGGTCTGCCTGAATATGACCTAGCTGGATGTAATCCAGAAAATTCAGTCCCTCCATCCTTAATTAAAAGGATCAGGTTGTTGGCATTTGTCTATCTTAAGAAACAATGGAGTGTGCCTCCCCGGCGGTGAAGTCAAACCGCAGTGTGACCTGTCCGAAGTGACCTGTCTGGGGCACTAGCCTGGGCAGTGTGTATGGAGGTTTTGAACTGCCCAGGTGAAAAGACACTCCCTCCTTCTTGGCCTCGCAGATGGAGGCAGAGGAGGTTTAGGAATCAGAGTTTTCCTTCTCCTAAATAATAATAATTTTATTATTTATACCCCGCCCATCTGGTTGGGTTTCCCCAGCCACTCTGGGTGGCTTCCAACAAAATATTAAAATACAATAGTCTGTCAAACATTAAAAGCTTCCCTAAACAGTGCTGCCTTCAGATGTCTTCTAGAAGTCTGGTAGTTGTTTTTCTCTTTAACATCTGGTGGGAGGGCGTTCCACAGGGCGGGTGCCACTACCGAGAAGGCGCTCTGCCTGGTTCCCTGTAACTTCACTTCTCGCAGCGAGGGAATCGCCAGAAGACTCTCGGCACTGGACCTCAGTGTCCGGGCAGAATGATGGGAGTGGAGACGCTGCTTCAGGTATACTGGACCGAGGCCGTTTAGGGCTTTAAAGGTCAACACCAACACTTTGAATTGTGCCCAGAAATGTACTGGGAGGCAATGTAGGTCTTTCAAGACCGGTGTTATGTGGTCTCAGTGGCCACTCCCAGTCACCAGTCTAGCTGCCACATTCGGGATTAGTTGTAGTTTCTGGGTCACCTTCAAAGGTAGCTCCACATAGAGCTCATTGCAGTAGTCCAAGCGAGAGATAACCAGAGCGTGCACCACTCTGGTGAGACAGTCTTCCTAGGTTGCTGAGCCCCATCTGCCCCGAAAGGATCAGGTAGAATGTAATGAGAGAGGTCTCCATTTGAGACCCTAAAGCAGGGATGGGGAGCCTGTAGCCTTCCAGATGTTGTTAGACTCCTACACCCTTCGATCCTTGCCAGCGTGGCTAATGGTCAAGGCTAGCAGTTCGAGCTCTCTTGACCTAGAGAACTGCTACAATCAAAATAGACAACTCTGGGTGTGATAGACAACAACATCCTTTTTAGATCACCCTGTATCTGGTGGGAGCCCGGGGAGCCCATATTTACACAATATAGCAATAAAATACATCCATTTAACACAAATAATAAAACACCAAAAATAATAATGCTAATAATGATAGAATCATTAATTTGTAGAGTTGGAAGGAACCCAAGGGGTCATCTAATCCAACCACCTGCAATGCGTTACAATGTCATTTTTAGATCATTGTGTATCTGGTAGGATCCTGTAATGGTTTACACAATACTTTGATAAAAACACAACATTCAATAACACAAATAATAAAATGATCAAAGTGCTCTAAAAAAATGAAGGCTAATCCATTAGAGGGAATGGGGCATTGCCCCACCATTCTCAGTCTGCCCTCAGCCTGTCTGCCTCTTTATAGAAGCATAGAATTGTAGAGTTGGAAGGGATAGCAAGGGTCATCTAGCCCAACCTCCTGCAATGCAGGAATCTCAACTTAAAGCATCCATGACAGATGGCCATCCAACCTCTGTTTAAAAACCTCCAGTGAAGGAGAGTCCACAACCTCCTGAGGGAGACCGTGCCACTGTTGAACAGCTCTTAGAACAGCTCTTACCACCAGAAAGTTCTTCCTGATGATTACCGTATTTTTTGCTCTATAAGACTCACTTTTTCCCTCCTAAAAAGTAAGGGGAAATGTGTGTGCGTCTTATGGAGTGAATGCAGGCTGCGCAGTTATCCCAGAAGCCAGAACAGCGAGAGGGATTGCTGCTTTCACTGCGCAGCGATCCCTCTTGCTGTTCTGGCTTCTGAGATTCAGAATATTTTTTTTCTTGTTTTCCTCCTCCAAAAACTAGGTGCGTCTTGTGATCTGGTGCGTCTTATAGAGCGAAAAATACGGTAATTGG